TGTAAGTTGGGAGCACAGTTAAAGTGCAGGTGGTTTTAAGTAAGTCCCAGCTTTGCTTAACTGTAGGCTTTCTTGCCTCTCCTCTGCATGTGAACAGGCTTACAATCAGCCAGTGATATGTGGACAACTTGGCCTTCTCCAGTTTTTCCTACACAGGTATTATGGAGAGCTTATGTAGGCCCCTATGACGATCTTATTTTCCAGATCTTCCCGGTAAATTTCTGGCTGATCTGCCAATCTGCTGCTTGCCCCAACCACAATGGCAACCTCAGGTTAGCTGAGCTGCTGGTCTTCCCTTATTTGTTTGTCACCTAGATTGCTCCTGTAACTCACAGTGGATGTGGGGACGTGCTGGGATGTGGGGTTTTATGCTCTCGTCTGAATCAAGTCAGCCCCCTCTGGCAGTGAACTCTCCTTTTCAGACGTTTTCCCACTTTGGTAGAACTACCTTATGGACTGAAGTGGGGGCTAGGAGAATCCTAACCAGGAATGCCACACAGACTCTCACTGCTTATATGTGAAGTTCAGTAGGTTTTTTGTTTTGTTTTGTTTTTAATAAATACCACTTTTCAGTGTAGTGTATGGCTTTCATTGATTTTCAGAGCCCTGATTTGGTTGTTTCTGACAATGTGTCCCGTTTTACCATTGCATTTTGGGGAGAAGAACTGATGAACGATTCATTCCACCATACTAGAAATCCTGCCTCTGTAGCAGTCATTTTTACTAGCGTCTCCATTGATTCTGGTGTGAAACCAGGGTTGAGAATCACTGAGCTAGTATATGATTATAGAAGAATAAATCTTGATTTCATTTCATTCAATAAACGTTTATTGAGCAGTGTCAGGCACTGGACACAATGCTGAGGATACGAAGATAACTGAGACTATCTCTCTCCTTGAGTAGTCACAGGCAGTGGGAAAGACAGAGAAACCAATTATGCAGTGTAACTTTGAGCATGGAGAAATGGGAGACACTGGCTTTGGGAGCACAGTCAGCAAAGGCAATGCCCACAGTGCATCATTTCTCTGAAACATGCTAATAGGCTCTGAGTATTTTCAGAAAATCATATAGCCATTAAGTAGATCTAATCTTAAGTATTAATAAATTTATTAATCCTAGGGAACCTGAAACAGTT